ACCCCCACCCCACCACACACACACTCTCTCTCTCTCTCTCTCTCTCTCTCTCTCTCTGTTGGCTCTGCCCAGGAGTCACGTGCCAATGTACAGTAGGGTCCGGGAACACAGATTTACCCTGCCCCTGTGGCGACTCACCATTTTGGGGGTCTTGTGGCTCATGTGAGCTTGCCTGGGGTCAGCCACTTAGTGACAGGTATGTGAATAGTAGCTGTGTTTTAAATCACTGAATCAGTGTTCTCTGTGTTGCGAACAATACTGCTTCTGTAAAATGTTGCGTTTTGGCTTCACAGAGAAAGCTCCTTGGGAGCCAAGCCTCCCTCTTTGTTCTCGCCGGCTGAATTGCTGCGCAGAATTAGAAAGTGGCCACGAAGAACTAAGGAGGACTTTCTGCATGAGGTTATGATGCACTCCGCCGCTGAAAAACAGGAATTGAAGGAGTGGCAGAACAGCAAGAAGAGGGACTGAAAGGAGAATGCGGCACGCCAGAATGAAGCCATGGAACGACTCTTAAACGTTATGGAGGTCAAGCGGATATGCTCAGGGCGATACTAGCACTGCAAACTGAGCAGCTCTGCACCCGCCCTCCTCTGCAGCTGCGGTTGCAAAACTCTTTCCCATGTGTCCCCCCCAGACACCACCAACACACTCTTATAAACCTCCTGGCTCCAGTCTGTACCCGTGGCATTCCACTCCTCCCCTGTCACAGTCTGGCACTGCAGACTCCCAGTACCCCCTGCACTCAACACCCATCCCTCTGCAGTTTCGCCCTGTTGAAGTATAGTACCCACTGCACTGTACTCCAAAGGAGAAGGTTGGATATCATCCCTGGACATACACAAATCTTTAACCGTCCCTGGACCCACCTCCTCTCGAGACCTTCCCTTCCCCCATCCCCCTCAGTGCTGATGTGTTTTTTTGTTTTTCTCTCTCTTCCGGTTGTTTTTTAATAAAAGAATCATGTTGGTTTGAAAGCAATCTTTATTCTATTAATTAAAAGCAAACAGAGCAACAGACAGTTATCTTAAACCTTCATATTGCATCATCTGCACCAACCACAATGACCTCCTAGCATTACAATCACTGCACTCCAGAGCATAGCAACAAATATTAGTGACTTTCAGCCTTCCCTTCACAAATATTATGGAGCATACAGCATGCGGCTATCAACATAGGAATATTGTCATCGGCCAGGTCTAGCTTCCCATATAGGCAGTGCCAGCAGGTCTTTAAATGGCCAAAAGCACACTAAACAGTCATTCTGCACTTGCTCAGTCTGTTGTTGAACTGCTCCTTGCTGTTGTCATGGTGCCCCGTGTATGGCTTCATAAGCCACAGCATTAAGGGGTAGGTGGGGTCTCCCAGGATCACAATGGACATTTCAAATTCCTCTACAGTGATCTTCTGGTCCAGGAAGAAAGTCCCTGCTTGCAGCTTCCTGAATAGGCCAGTGTTCCGAAAGATGCGTGCGTCATGCACCTTTCCGGAGCAGCCTGTGTTAATGTCCGTGAAACGCCCAGGGTGATCCACAAGAGCCTGGAGAACCATAGAGAAATAACGCTTCTGATTAATATTCTCAGTGACTAGGTGGTCTGGTGCCAAAACTGGAATATGCGTGCCATCTATCACCTCTCTGCAGTTAGGGAAGCCCATTTGTGCAAAGCCATCCACAATGTCATGCACATTCATAGAATCATAGAAATCGGGGTTGGAAGGGACCTCAGGAGGTCATCTACTCCAACCCCCTGCTCAAAGCAGGACCAACCCCAACTAAAACATCCCAGCCAGGGCTTTGTCAAGCTGGGCCTTAAAAACCTCTAAGGATGGAGATTCCACCACCTCCCTAGGTAACCCATTCCAGTGCTTCACCACCCTCTTAATGAAAAAGTTTTACCTAATATCCAACCTAAACCTCCCCCACTGCAACTTTAGACCATTACTCCTTGTTTTGTCATCTGATACAACTGAGAACAGTTTAGAGCCATCCTCTTTGGAACCCTTTTCAGGTAGTTGAAAGCAGCTATCAAATCCCCCCCCTCATTCTTCTCTTCTGCAGATTAAACAATCCCAGTTCCCTCAGCCTCTCCTCATAAGTCATGTGCTCCAGCCCCCTAATCATTGCCCTCCACTGGACTCTTTCCAATTTTTCCACATTCTTCTTGTAGTGTGGTGCCCAAAACTGGACAGAGTACTCCAGATGAGGCCTCACCAATGTCAAATAGAGGGAAACGATCACGTCCCTTGATCTGCTGGCAATGCCCCTAATTATACAGCCCAAAATGTTGTTAGCCTTCTTGGCAACAAGGGCACATTGTTGACTCATATCCAACTTCTCGATCTCTGTAACCCCTAGGTCCTTTTCTGCAGAACTGCTGCCTAGCCATTCGGTTCCTAGTCTGTAGCAGTGCATGGGATTCTTCTGTCCTAAGTGCAGAACTCTGCATTTGTCCTTGTTGAACCTCATCAGGTTTCTTTTGGCCCAATCCTCTAATTTGTCTAGGTCCCTCTGTATCCCATCCCTACCCTCCAGTGTATCTACCACTCCTCCCAGTTTAGTGTCATCTGCAAACTTGCTAAGAGTGCAGTCCACGCCATCCTCAAGATAATTAATGAAGATATTGAACAAAACTGGCCCCAGGACCAACCCTTGGGGTACTCCACTTGATACCGGCTGCCAACTAGATATGGAGCTATTGATCACTACCCATTGAGCCCGACAATCTAGCCAGTTTTCTATCCATCTTATAGTCCATTCATCCAGCCCATACTTCTTTAACTTGCCGGCAAGAATGCTGTGGGAGACTGTATCAAAAGCTTTGCTAAAGTAAAGGAATAACACATCCACTGCTTTCCCCTCATCCACAGAGCCAGTTATCTCATCATAGAAGGCAATTAGGTTAGTCAGGCATGACTTGCCCTTGGTGAATCCATGCTGACTGTTTCTGATCACTTTCCTCTCCTCTAAGTGCTTCAGAATTGATTCTTTGAGGACCTGCTCCATGATTTTTCCAGGGACTGAGGTGAGGCTGACTGGCCTGTAGTTCCCCGGATCCTCCTCCTTCCCTTTTTTAAAGATGGGCACTACATTAGCCTTTTTCCAGTCATCCGGGACCTTCCCTGATTGCCATGAGTTTTCAAAGATAATGGCCAGTGGCTCTGCAATCACATGCACCAACTCCTTTAGCACCCTTGGATGCAGTGCATCCGGCCCCATGGATTTGTGCTCATTCCACCTTTTTCAATAGTCCTGAACCACTTCTTTTTCCACAGAGGGCTGGTCACCTCCTCCCCATGCTGTTCTGCCCAGTGCAGCAGTCTGGGAGCTGACCTTGTTTGTGAAGACAGAGGCAAAAACAGCATTGAGTACATTAGCTTTTTCCACATCCTCTGTCACTAGGTTGCCTCCCTCATTCAGTAAGGGGCCCACACTTTCCTTGATTTTCTTCTTGTTGCTAACATAGCTGAAGAAACCCTTTTTGTTACTCTTAACTTCCCTTGCTAGCTGCAACTCCAAGTGTGATTTGGCCTTCCTTATTTCACTCCTGCATGCCTGAGCAATATTTTTATACTCCTCCCTGATCATTTGTCCAATCTTCCACTTCTTGTAAGCTTCTTTTTTGTGTTTAAGATCAGCAAGGATTTCACTGTTAAGTCAAGCTGGTCGCCTGCCATTTTTACTATTCTTTCTACACATCGGGATGATTTGTTCCTGCAACCTCAATAAGGATTCTTTAAAATACAGCCAGTTCTCCTGGATTCCTTTGTCCCTCATGTTATTCTCCCAGGCGATCCCTCCCATCAGTTTCCTGAAGGAGTCGGTCTGCTTTTCTGAAGTCCAGGGTCCGTATACTGCTACTCTCCTTTTTTCCTTGGGTCAGGATCCTGAACTCGACAATCTCATGGTCAACACGACGTCCACTGGTCGACTTTCCCACTCCGAACTGGTTAGCAACCAATTGCTAGCAGTCTGGAGTAGCCAGCTTCCACAATGCAATCACCACACACGTCTCCAATGGCAGGACAACTCTGATTCTTGTGTCCTTGCACCTCAGGGCTAGGGGGAGCTCACACAGTCCCATGAGTGTGGCTTTCCTCATCCGAAAGTTCTGCAGCCACTGCTCGTCATCCCAGATGTGCATGACGATGTGATCCCACCACTCAGTGCTTGTTTCCCGAGCCCAAAAGCGGCATTCCACTGTGGTCAGCACCTCCGTGAATGCCACAAGCAATCTCGTCTCGTAGGTAGTACTCGTGGTGAGATAAATGTCGCACTCCTCTTGCCTTTGTAGTTTAAGGAATAACTCCACTGCCACTCGTGACGTGTTAGTCACAGCAAGCAGCATACTGGTCAACAGTTAGGGATTCATTCCTGCATACTGAAGAGGCAAGGGGCGCAGTACACAAACGATTGAAAGATGGCGCCAAATGCAAAAGGAAACACAGGTTGCTGGGATGTGAAGCAATGCCTCACATGGCATTGGGACTAGACCCAGGATGCCCCGCGACCCCCCTCTGCCTTCCCACAACTCTTAGCGTCAGAAGAGGAAGAGATGCTCTGTAAGAGCTGCCCAGGGTGCACTGCTCTGAATACTGCTGCAAGTGTGAACACGCTATTGCGCAGGCAGCTAACAGTGTGAACACACAACAGCGGTTTCTCTTCAGCATTCTCTTAGCGGAGCTGTAACTGCCAGTGTAGACATACCCTGAGTACATCTCTCAGACCTGAAGAAGAGCTCTGTATAAGCTCGAAAGCTTGTCTCTCTCTCCAGCAAGTTGGTCCAATAAAAGATATTACCTTACCTACCTCATCTATCTCAATTATTGAATATAGTGTGGATTCTTATTCTTCCTACATGTACTCCATAATTTCCCTTTCTAGCCTGCATGACAAGTTAAGATTAGTTACGATGTTATGGGTATACCTGTCTGCCTTCAAAGAACTGCTGCCACTATAAAAGTGAAGCTGCTGATCCCTGTGCTGTAACTGCTCTGTGGCTGAGCAGAGTACTTCAATCTCCAGGTCTGTCAGTCTGACACTAACATGTTACTTAAAAACTAGTCATGCTCAAGCTAGCTTTCCAAATCCCATTCAGTCCTTACTTTGTCTGAGTTTATTTTCTCTGCAGCTTGTCAGGATATTTGTGTATAGTATAAACAGAATTCTCATTTTTTCCCCTCCCACCATCATCTGCTCGATTCATTCAAAGCCGGACTGACAGCATGTATTTGATAGTACCTTTGCTTCCACAGTGCATTGTTCCACAGGTGTTGCATACACTGAAATTGACTACACTGAGAAGACACGATAGGTATAGAAATGCAGCAAAAGGACAGGACTGTTTAAATTTGCTTGCTCAGGCATGGTGTGATTCTTCAACATCATGTGAGCTTTCTGTTTTCCATTTATATTATTTGTCTGTGCTGTTTCTTTAGTCTTGTTTTACCCTAAATGCACAGAGGACCCGCTGGAAGCTGTTTCATTCGTACATTCACTCTTGGTTTTCTCTTTTCTGAGACTTACCACAATCTGTTTGGTGTGTGTGTGTGGTTTTTTGGTTTTTTTTTGGTTGTTGCCACTGCTAAAAAAAGTGATGATTAGCTGCTTCTGCAATGCTTTAAACCTTGTTTTGATTTTACCCTATTGTACGAAATTTACCTTGAAACAGCTATCAGGCTATTTATTATTTATTTCTCTTTCTGCTGCAATGGTTAAAAGGACACTGTCAAGGTATCACTTATAATTTTTTAAAATCCCTTTTTTTTACTGTTTGTAATAATCCCTGAGTTTAAAATTGAAATAATTTGTTACTGAACACTTTTTTTTTCCTTCAGTGGTACATTCATATTGACTTCTTGTTCATGAATGTTGGGCAGATAACGTTGAATCGTTTTAGGGGAGAAAAAAATTTACACTGACTATGCAAACTGAAAGGAAATACGTAGGTCTCATGTTGGACCTACAGCCTTGACAGTGTCCCTTTAAATATGCCTTCCGACTAGTACTGGAGCCAAAGTGCAGTCACCACTTCACTATGAACTTCCTCAGTTTGTGTCTCCATCTTCCCTGTCATCATCAGCAACTGAGATTAAAGCCTGTCTCAGTCCAGGTGGAAGGGTATGAAATCTGCTACTCTCTGCTCTATACAAGACATTTTGATTAACCCTCACCTTTAGTATATACTCAGGAGACAAGTTGCAATTCACCACCCAGAGCTCCTTGGGAATTGTCCCAGCCTTCCTGAGGAAGCAGCTTTTGAGAGGGTATTAGGAGAGCCACTCTGCAGTGCAATGGTCACATCTAGGATTTACAGGGCCAGGGATAAGAAGTAGAAGGGTGCCCCTCACCCTATGGGAATTGTCTGCTGGAGAAAGTAGCCCTGTGTCTGTCCTGGCCTCCAGAGAGGACTCTCCTGTAAGCCTGACACATGCTATTTCTGACACTTTGTCTCTGCCCATCTGCCTTCCTTTATGGTGCTTGCTGTTTTCTCTCCTCTTTTCTTTAACCCATTTGTCCCTGCCCCCTCATGTGTTCTCATCCCCCCCGTTTTCTTTGTGCTCAGACTCCTAGGTTTTTTTGCCCTAATTCCCTCACTCCCACTTATGAGGCTCAGGACAGCTGAAGTTCCTTAGAGCTTGTCTCACGTTCTCGGAGCTCAGGAAGAGGCTCCACAACCCTTATCCCTGCTGAGCCCTCCCCACATCTCCAGCAACAGTAACCATTGGTCAGATCTGCAGCTGCTACACTTACCAGCTGGACTGTGCTGCTGTACACTTAACACAGGGGTTGCTATCCAGTGGGGTGAGGGAGGCCTCAAACACTAGCCAAGTAGAACTGTTGTGGCTCTATGTAGTGCTGTGTTGAAGGTTCAGCGGTGTCACAGTAGCAACACCAAAAGTGTTTAAAGAAATGCTCCCCTACTGCACAATAAGATTGAAAAACTTATCTGGCTACCAGCAATATCTCTACTTCATCTAGGAATAGATGAGGTTGGCAGGGGGCAGTGCTTGCGCCATTTGTAGCCAAGCTTCCACATATGTAGTACTTTCCTTCTGCCTGATCAGTGTACCTCAGGCCCTCTCTGAAGGCTTGATGTGCACTAAGCCTCATTGGAAGGTGACAAACCGCTCAGTAGAGTGCACCTTTCTGACATCCGAAAGAATGTAGACATGGCCCACAGGTGAGCCATTGGACCTCAGTTGTTTGACTTCATCCTTTAGTTGAGGAAGCCTCTTTATACTGACTTGTTTTTTGCAGTCATGGGGGAGCCCAGTAAACAATGCTAGTTGCCTGTTTGCCAATTCAGAGGTGAGAAAGAGAAGAATTTGGCAGATTATCCCTTAATGCCCGGCATACTTTTCTTGTCTGATCATTTTGAAGAATTGAAGACTTCAAAACTTACAGGTGCCTGCCCTCAGCTTCTTTTTGTTCACTAGAGCTTTTTTAAAGTGTATGACACAGGGCAGTAAAGTAATGATTCTATCAGCACCAGTGTAACATTACGTGTCCGTGCTCTGCCTTGCTCTTTTGCATAGTACTTTATTGCTATGTACAGCACTCACATTTTGAGGGGGAAGGATTGGAGGCAACTTGTGTTACTGAATTAAAAACATATCTTGTAGTGGAATTAGCACCACAATGGAAAAGGAAGTCTAAGCTTCATGGTTCTGAAGTCTTTCCGGACTTCTTAATTTTACCAGCCTCCACTCCACACCTGTTAGTTTCCACCTTAATTAAGTGTTCATATCTGGAGCTTTGGTGTTTTGTGTCGTTTTTTTTTGTTTTTTTTTTAATTTTACAGAGACAAATCTGTTCTTTGACTTTCAGGTTCCTAAAGAGAAAGATGAAATGGTGGAGCAGGAATTCAACCGTTTGCTGGAGGCCACCTCCTATCTCAGTCATCAGCTGGACTTCAATGTCCTCAATAACAAGCCAGTCTCCTTAGGACAGGCTCTGGAAGTTGTCATCCAGTAAGTGCCCTCATGCTTTGCTGATAGAAATGAATAGTCTCAGACTTGAAGGCCAGAAGGGACCATCATGATCATCTAGTCTGACCTCTCCTGAATTACTGAATTCTTCAAATAATGATTTAAAGACCAAGTTACAGAGAATCTACCATTTACACTAGTTTAAACTTACAAGTGATCTGTGCCCCATGCTGCAGAGGAAGATGAAAAACTCACAGGGTCTCTGCCAATCTAATGGGCGGGGTGGGGGGGAGAATTCCTTCCCAATCCCAAATATGGACCCTGAGCATTTTGGGAAGATCCAGCAGCTAGACACCTGGGAAAGAACTCAGAGAGTAGTAATACAGAGCGTAACTCCCCGTCTAGTGTCCCATCACTGGCCATTGAAGATATTTGCAACTGGCAGTTGTAGATTGGCTACATGATATTGTAGGCAGTTTCATCATCCCATCCATAAACTTATCTTTGAAAAATCATGGAAGATGGGGGAAATTCCAGAGGATTGGTAGACAGATATAGTGCCAGCCTATAAAAAGGGGAATAAGGACAACCCAGGGAATTACAGACCAGTCAGCTTAACTTCAGTACCCAGTGTTGGAGAAAAACAGAGTTCTCACTTTTTGTTTTCTCTGCTTCCACACCAGAAAGAGCAAATAATCAAGCAGTCAGTTTACAAACCCCTAGAAGATAATATGGTGATAAGTAACAGTCAAGAAAAAATCATGTCAAACCAACCTAATGGCTTCCTTTGACAGGGTAACAAGCCTTGTGGATAGGGGGAAAGTGGTAGAGGTGGCGTATCTTTACTTTAGTAAGGCTTTTAATACTGTCTAATGTGGCCTTCTCATAAACTAGGGAATATAGCTTAGCTGGAACTATCAAAAGGTGGGCGCATAACTTCTCTGGAAACGGTTTTCCAATCAGTTATCAATGTTTCACAGTGAAGCTGGAAAGGCATATCGAGTGGGGTTCTGCAGGGATCAGTTCTGTTCAGAATCTTCATCAATTTAAATAATGGCAGAGAGATTACAGTTACAAAGTTTGCAGATGATACCAAGCTGGGAGGAGTTAGAAGTGCTTTGGAGCATAAGATTAAAATTCAAAATGATCTGGACAAACTAGAGAAATGGTCTGAAGTAAATCTGATGAAATTCAATAAGGACAAATGCAGAGTACTCCGCTTAGGAAGGAACAATAAATTCCACACATACAAATGGAAAAGACTGCCTGGGAAGGAGTACTGCGGAAAGGGATCTGGGAGTCATAGAGGATCACAAGCTAAAAATGAGTAAACAAAGTAACTGTTTCGCCAAAAAGAAATAAAAAGCAAACAGCATTCTGGGATGTATTAGCTGGAGTGTTGTAAGCAACACACAAGAAGTAATTCTTCCAACGTACTCTGTGCTGATTAGGCCTCAGTTGGAGTATTGTGTCCAGTTCTGGGCACCACATTTCAGGAAAGATGTGGACAAATTGGAGAAAATCCAGAGAAGAGCAACAAAAATGATGAAAGGAGGAGGAGGGAGAAAAATTGTTCATAGGACAAGAATCAATGGGCCTAAATTGCACTTTAAGTTGGACATTAGGAGAAACTTCTTAATTGTCAGGGTAAATACTCGAATAAATTGCCTAGGAAGGTTGTGGAATCTCCATCATTGGAGATTTTTAAGAGCAGATTAGACAAACATCTGTCAGGCATGGTCTAAAATAATACTTAGTCCTGCTATAAGTACAAGGGAGAGAGCTCTCCCGCCGACAACAAATTTCCACTCCCAACGAGCAGCAGTAGCTTTGTTGGCAGGAGAGCACCCCTGCCGACAAAGCGCTGTTTACATCGGCGTTTTCCTTGGCAAAACTTCTGTCGTTTGGGGGTGTGTGTGTGTGTGCGTGGTTTTTTTCACACTCCTGAATGACACAAGTTTTGTCATTCAGTTTCCAGTGTAAACAAAGCCTAAAATGGCATCACCTCTTGTTGGTTCGGTGACTGTTTGGTGAAGAAATCTGTCAGCTATCACATCCAGGAAAATCTGGGCCTTACTATTATTAGTAGCACTTGTCTTCCAGTCTATATCTGGGAAATTAGTCTCCCATATTCACACAATTTCCAATAGTATTTATTTAATTTAAAAAGGTCTCTGTCCATATCTAGATTGGATTCTGGGGGTCTATAGTCAATCCCAAACAGTGCTCCAGGAGAACCTCTGGGAGATTTCTTCCCCAAAATGATTTGGACACAGACTCTATTTTATCCATTCCATCACTTCTAATTTCTTTAGTCTACCTCATCATGCTACTCCACCACCTTTACCTTTATTTCTGTCTTTCCTTAACAGCACATACCCTTCAATCCCTGTACTCCAGTCACGATGACTATTCCACCATGTTTCTGTTATCCCTGTAATATCTAGTTTCTTCCTGCACCAGTAGTTCTAGTTTCTCCATTTTGTTACCCAGGCTCCTTGCATTGGTATCATCTTAATGGTTTCTGCTTGGTTTTGCAAGGATTCCTCACCTGATTAGGTAAGCCTACTTGACTATTAGCTTCAATGATATTGGCACTATCTTTCCTCTTAATATCCATTCTTCTATCCTTTCTCCATTGCTGTGTTTTCTCTTTCTTGATTTTCCTCCCGGTCAGTATTGAAATCAGGCATGGAAATTACCTGAGTCTTCCCCAGTAAGGATTCTGTTTGGATTTTCTTGAAGTACGTAGTCATGATGACTTCTTGATAATCTTGGTTTCTTGCAGCCACTTGGCACATCTTGTGTCCAGCATTTGTGTGCACACCCTTTCCACATTTTTAGTACTGCTTTGTAGACACAGGATGAGGAATGTTACCTTAACCGGTATCTGCCTTGAAAATTCCTCTTCCATTAGTGATTAGCAATTAATAAAATAAATGGATATTTGACATAGCACAATAGTGTGATCCAGCATGAAGTTTAAATCCTATTTGTTTGGAAACATTTCCTGCAAGTAAGAATTTCTACCCTTTGGCTTTTGGTAGGCTGTCCTATGTTTAGCTACTAGCTAACCAACTGCTTTCTTTTCATGAGTTGTACAGTTGCTGAAGAATACACTCCATTCTTTACTGAAATGACACTTTTCTGAGTTCTACTTTATTACCTTACACTCATGGCTCAGATGTTGATAATGAGAAAACTATGTAGCTTACTAGGATTTCCCAGTTAAAACGATCTGTGGCTTCTGTTCCCCACCGCTAGATTGCAAGAAAAGCATGTGAAGGATGAACAGATTGGACATTGGAAGAAGATAGTAAAAACTCAAGAGGAGCTGAAAGATCTCCTTAACAAGGTCAGACCTTCTCCTCATTGTGGCACACATGGATGCAATACTCTTTTCACTTCCTTCCCTTACAAATGCACTGGAAAAAGTTACTAGGAACTTAAAGGAGAAACCGATTTCAGAAACTGATCACCATCATTACATTTAATGTTTATGTGAAAAGGAACTAGACCTTGAGAAATAAAGAAATTTTATCTGCATTTTATCAATAAGGAGGGCAACAACACTATTCAAAAATGAATAATGATGCTTTTTTGGTCCACAAGGAGAAGTTGTGTTTTGACAGGCAAGCCCCAGGGAAACTATTAATTTTATTAAGCTGGGGCTTTCTTAGCACTGAAGAACACTTCTTTTCGCTTCTGAGAAACTCAGTCTAAAGGCAAACAAGTAAGCAGAGGCCAGGGAAAGTAGACAGTTTATATAGATGTCGCCTTGATTCACTGTAACCATCATGGCAGAAGTGGCTGTTTAAGGGTGACTTAAATTTGGATGTGGTAGGGACCTTCCAGATGAGCACAAGAAGCCCATATAAAGAAAATAGGACCCTCTGGAAGAATGTACAACAATGATTGTGCCAACAGCTGACAAACATGGACGAGACTGGGAATACTTATGGAATGGAGAGGATGGAGACAGTGAAAAGCAATACGTAAAAGCAAACCAGCTCTTCCTTGAAAGCATCACTGTAATAACCACTTCTGTTGGAAATGCTTATTGCAGATATGGTTTGTGATGAGATTAATTTACAATTGTTTACAAAGTCACCTTAAAAAAATATCTTAAGGTAAATAAAAAGATGTGTTTAGTCATTTGGAAACATACAAGATTGAAACACTGGAAGATTTAGTGCAGATCAAATGTTACAGGTGATGCTGCTGTCCCTCTGGAGAAAGCATACAGAGTTCTGGCATCTTTCCTACCCTCAACAGTTCCTTCTGTACATTTTGCCAGAGGACAGTAATAGCTTATGATGTGCATGTTAGTCAGAAAATCTCTAGAAATATAGGATTGATGGTACTTACTGTAGTGCCCTGTGAGGTCCATCCCCTATAAGTAACATCCCCTATAACAAGGGGGGAAATGCCACCAGTGATGTGACTGTTTTTGAGGCAGAATTCTTAATTTCACTGTAAATGTTACAAAAGCTCCTTTTTTCCCCTTCCCAGATGGTGAATTTAAAAGAGAAGATTAAAGAGCTCCATCAGCAGTATAAGGAGGCATCTGAAGTAAAACCACCTCGGGATATTACTGCGGAGTTCCTTGTGAAAAGCAAACACCGAGATCTTACTGCTCTCTGCAAGGTACAGAATGCCATAAATACAAGGGTTTCAGTCTACAAATTTTTGTCTTTAAAATCTGAACGACAAACTGATTATGTAAAATTGTGTCAAGAACACTTTTTCGAAGAACTGGCTGTGTGAAACTGCTCTGACATGTTCATGTGCATGTTCCCTGTGTTAGAGCCTTCTGGAAAGTGATAATGGGACTGTAAGAGCTCCTGTCTCAACAGGATCTGAAAGTTCAGGCTAAAGAGCATAAATGTGTTGAGGAATTAGTCCAGTTTTAGATCACAGTTCAGCTTCAGCACCGTTGGACACTGTCCAAAACAGGCATCCCACTACTGTGCATGTTGAGATGGCAATCTGGAAAGAAAAAGTTCATGTTCGAAGAGATTTGCTTCCTGGAAGGCCAAAATGTCAGTGACTGATGAATATGTAAGAAACTTGCAGAGGTTGCGAGAGGCTCACCTGCCTGAATGAGGCTCCATTTATGCCAGATTGGCTCTTTTGGCCTGAGTGATTTGTCCTTTGGTGCTCCCTGCTTGCGCCTAGGAATTGGATTTCTCCAGTTTTGCTCCTCTGTAGAATCCAAATACTTGTGAAGCAGCTTGAGTGCTCTTTAGATCTAGTCATTCACATCCTCCTGACTCATTACATTGTGACGCTACAGGACCTCTGACCAGGCAACAGAATGCTCCCTCAGCTTATGTTTGGAATCATCTTGTGAATAGCACCAGGAGTAATCGTGAATGAGTCTGAAGGCCTTGAAACTGAGGTGCATTAGATCTAGGCTTGAGAACTGAGGTGGTTCCCCTGATTCCATTAATTCTGGAGTAGTCCTTGGATCCAAACTGTCTGTCCTACTTCACCAGTACCTGGTGTGGGAACCAGTGAGCAGTCCCCATCACTTCTCTCATTTAGATTTTAGACAGATTCATTACGCCCTTTCAGTCTTTTCCTGAAGGGAAGCTTAGATTTGCAAGTTGCAGTGGGGGAGGTCCAGGTTGGATATCAGGAAAAACTATTTCGCTAGGAGGTTGGGC